CAAAGAGTCTGACCTCGGGGGTAGTCCTTAAGTCCTCCCGAACCACCAAAGGCCGCTGGAAGGGCCGTCGGGGCCACCGGGACTGCTAGAAGAGCAGCCCGAAGGCCACCGCGGCCAGAGTGGGTTGCCAAGGGGCCATTGGGAGGGCCATCGGGGCCGCTGGTCCAGTTCTTAAAGGCCGCCGAGGCTACCAGAAGGCAGAAAGCATTTGGAGAAAGGAGATCTGCAAATGGCCCTTCACACACCCATGGACTCCGGGGAGGAGATGCCACGAGTGGCATAAGAGTCCACATTAACTGTGCTACACTGCCCAGACCCGAGCCAGGTTTCAGCTGGCAATGGTGTGTTCTCCTCACCGCACGGAGTGGCTGGGCCGGGCGAGGCAAACCGGCAACATGCCGAACCTGCCTGGGCGTGCACAGAGGCGGTGGCAAGCGCATGCACCTGGCACCTGGAATCCTGGGTGATTGTTTTGCCACACAGGCTGACCACATTCTGAGGGCTTCCCTTTCACCTAGGATGCCAGGTGCCAGGTGCATTCGCTCGCTGCCACTTCTGCACACGCCCAGGCAGATTTGGCATGTCGCTGGTTCGCCTCACCCGGCCTAGCCGCTCCATGCAGCAGTGAGGAGAATGCACCGCTGCCTGCTGGGGTCTGGGCAGTGTAGCACAGATAATGTGGACTCTCATGCTGCTCGCGGCATCCCCTCCCCTGGAGTCCACAGGTGTGTGAAGTGGGTGAGACCCATTTGCTGATTTCCTTAGGGGATGCCTGTTTTTCTCCCTCCCTCATTACAAATATCTTCCCGCCACTCTGATCTCATGGGTGTGCGCTCTTGTTCAGCAATTTACAGTGGCCTTACAAGCCATGGCCACTGGCAGCACAGCCCCAGCCGTGCAAGCAGCCTGTACCCTCCCTTGTCCCTTCCTGGGCAGGGAGGGAGGGAGGGAGGAAGGAAGGGACAATGAGAGGGAAGGAAGGAAAGGAAAGAAGGAAGGAAGGAACAGAGAATGGGAGGGAGGGAGGGAGGGAAGGGACAATGAGAGGGAAGGAAGGAAAGGAAGGAAGGAAAGAAGGAAGGCAGGGACAATGGGAGGGACTGCCCACCACAGTGCCACCCCCTCCACCAGAGACCCATGGATCCCTCCCACAGCCCCATCCGCACCCCCAGAGGCGCCCCGCAACCTGAGTGACGTTGAACTGGCCATGCCCCCCCGGCCATTGACTTTGCTTGTCAAAAAGTTGCAAAAAGTGATCACATGACCCTGGGACACTGACCGTCATAAGTATGAATCAATTGTCAAGCATCCAAATGTAAATCACATGACCCTGGGGATGCTGTAACAGTCATAAATGTGAAAAATGATCATAAGTCACTTTTTTCAATGCTGTTGTAACTTCGAACAGTCACTAAGTGAATTGTTGTAAGTCGAGGACTACCTGTACTTTATCACTTTTTTCCTTTTTGGGGGGGGGGACAGGTTTTTGACACCTTGCTAGACGACTGGTGGTACTCAAATACTGCAGCCATGACCACCCAGTGGGCCACACCCACCTGGCACTCGGCAATAAGTGGGTTTTGGGTTGCAGGTTTTGTATTCGGTCTTTAAAAGGTTCTCCATCACTGCTATAACCTATAACGATTGGCCTTGAATTTGGTAAATGCAATGTTATATAAAAAAGAAAATAAGACTAAGAAAAAAAGGAAAGAAAGAATAAAAGATGACATTTTCAAAAGATCAGAGAGAACAGAAAACCATGTATTGATAGGCAGACATTTGAAACAGAAATGGCAGAAATAAGAGGAGATTTAAGGATACTTTATCAAATGACTAAGTGGATTGGCAGGAGTTTTAGCTATAGAAAAGATAATCCAATAAAAGGAAAAACCTTTACTGAACTAAAGGGGGAAAAGCATTAAAAATTTGAGCAGCTTTTCTATGCCACCAAAACTAACACTCAGTTTTGATAACTTAGAAAAGGTTATGGAACTTGACATTCACTCTTTAAAAACTGCTTCTGAATGCTGAATATTAAAGAGATGAAAGAACATTACAGTTCAACTACTCAACATAAGTAGCATGCAACTAACTTCATACCACTACTCTGCTTTCTCAAAAGACATCGGAGAGAAGCTCTAGTCAAAATGTTCTCAGAGGTCATGCAACTATCTATATAAATTAGGATTATGAAGATTTAAATTCAAAAAACCATATTCTTCAGAACCATATCGACTTTGACATTCCATTTATGTAAGAAACAATCTCCAAAGAACAAGTTATAATTGATCTAGTCAAATATTATCAAATTAGCACTTTATTCAAATATTGATTTTAAATACTTTATTTATTTACGGTACTTCAATTTATATGGTTTTCCATCTCATATTTGGATGAGAAGGCTGACCTCTTTTCCATTATCAAAAGCTGGTTGGGCACAGAATGGGGGGAGGGTCTCCATCTCTGAAATGTACCACTCTGGTTTTTAAATATGGTACCGGTCATGACTTTAGAGCAAAAATATGGCTGTTGTTATCCATGAATTTCAACTGTGGAAGGTCCAGACAAGAAGCACATTCAGAAATACTTGCTCTAAATTTATTGTAAGTTGATATTAACAGAATATTGCAAGTCAGAAAATACTCTTCACCTTTACAGTCCAAGAAACTAGAGAGGGTCTCTTTTCAGATGTTTTTATCTCACATTCTCACTGCTGTTTGTCTGACTGTTGTTTAATCTGTGGCTTTTCTCTTGTAATTCCTACATGTAATTACAATGAGTCTCTGGTGGCCTTTAGGGACATTGTGCAAGACATACTGTAATTCATAAATGGATCTGAAATTCCCTTTGTGAGATTGGCCATAGGCCATAGTCTACTATTTGCTTACCTTCCTTTCTATAGCATACAGCCATCCCTGCCAGAGTACCTTGAATCTGTGGCCAATGTGACAATTGAACACTACCAAGAGTCCCTCTGTGAGGGAGATGGGCTGTTTAAAAATGTTATAGATAAATAAATAAATTTGTTGATGGAGTTCCTCAGGCTTATGATCCTGAGAGACTTCAAACTGGTTTCATTGAACCTGGGCTCAGAGGTGGCTTGAAATTCATGGCCACCATGACAATTGTTGATCTGACCTAATTTATTAATGGTCCAACCTGCAATGGAAATCACTCACTAAATCTGGTTTTTGTCCTCGGGCAATGACATAGTGGTTTGGCTTTGGAGGAAGTTAACATCATTCCTATGGTAGATTGTAGTCTGGATTCCCAGGAGGAAGGGGCTGAAATCCAGAGGGCAAAAGGGCAGCAAAGCTTAAATAGTTTGGTTGGGAGAAGGAGAGTTAAGAAGGATCGTCTGTAGCAGTTCCCAGATTATACCTACAATGATGCAAATAGTGGCTTTATTTTGGCAAACTTTCTGTCTACAAATGAAGAACAGTAAAGGAAACTTTTCAGAAGTAATCCCATGTGTCTTTTATGATTCTTGGGCCTAGTAATTTCCTTGTCATAATCAGACCACTACCATAACTTCCAATAGAGGTTCCTACTCAATATATACTGCTCACAAAAATAAAGGGAACGCAAACCCCTTCAGTTTCATGGTAAAATGTTCCCTTTATTTTTTTTGAGCAGTATATATATTAAGCATATAAATTGAATAAGGAAAGAGTATATATATACTTTTGTCTCATTCTTTTCCCAACCTGGAGGCAATCTATTTCATCATGTTCCTTCCAACCTGTGGTTTCGTATCCTGTGTATAGATTTTTCATAAGGACAATGAGATGTTCTGAGTTTCCTATTTTTCCTAAGCACATCACACTACTTGATAGTATAATGAAGGCCTTTCTTTAATCTTTTTAGTATCATTTCTTAATTATCCAGCATGTATCAGCAATAATGCTATTTGGGCCTTTTCTAAAACCAGCCTGAATATATGACACAACTCTTTCATGTAGGATTCTAATCTGCATTATTATTCACCTAGCACATGAAGAATAGCTGTAATTTATTGGTCAGTCAAGATTCCTTGGGACTCAAACTACTAACATTAATTTATTATCAGTTTTTAGTAAATGACACACACACACACACACACACAAAACCAAACTGATGTTTCATAGCTTGCTGGTACATCAATAGTGCGGCTTTAAAAAAAAATCTGTATTTTATCTGCAGATAAGTGACAGTGTATGGCCCTATGAATTTAAATAATTTCATTTAATGGTTAACTAGAGTTTTTTTTTTTAAAAAAAAATCCTACCTTAAATGAATTGGGATAAAGATCAATGTATTTTATGGCAGTCCAACTCCTGGAATGGGGATTCCCCAGAAACTCTACATGATGACTTTCAACATCTCCATTAAAATCATATTTCACATACTGTCCATCAGCAGGATCAGGAGAAAGAATGCCAGGCCATCTTAAAATAAAATGTTTTCAAAAATAAGTCCAGAGAAAAATTAAATGCATAGGTTTATGCTATATCTAGAAAGAAACATGTTTGGAGATATATCAGCAACAGACTTATTAAATAACCAGTAGAGCAATTGTAAGAGAGAGGAAATAAGCAGTCAGAAGGTAATAGGAAATGAACTATAGACCAGCCTGTACTTATAAAACCTTGCTAAGAATGGGAGGTAGTTTTTCAGAATATAAAGTCGTTATTGTTTCAAGCATACACTTTCCTACTGAAACCAACTGGGAAGTCTAATTACTGGATTCAGTGGATCCACGGACACTGCAGCCCACTTCTTGTATCTTGTGCTCCACTTTCATGGGTTTCTCAAGGACTTCTGTGATGGACTTTCTGAATTACACCCACCCTATGAATTTGCATATTAAGACTGTCCTGTTAATTCGACCTCTTGACATAAATCCCAAAATCCTATAAATATTTCCTCTATTTCCCATGTTTCTTCCACAAATTTAAAAAATATATTTTCTTTTATTAATCACAATTCTTCATAAATATATTGTTCTGACATATTTATAGCAATAGCAATTATATAACCACTTCATAGTGCTTTACAGCCCTCTCTAAGCGATTTATAGAGTCAGCATATTGCCCCCAACAATTTGGATCCTCATTTTACCGACCTTGGAAGGATGGAAGGCTGAGTCAACCTTGAACCAGTTAGAATCAAACTCCTAGCAGTGAACAATGAGTTAGTCTGCAATCTAATCACTGTGCCACCACAGTTTATACTTAGGAATTGTTGGAGATCTATAATGGAAGCTAAATAGAAAATCATTATGTCCCCTAAAGTTTAAGAACATCTGTAATCTTTATTACAATATTGTTTTTTAATGTTGCAATTAACCTAAATTATCCCTAATTAATGCTTAATTTCTTAAAACCTTACCTTGGCCATGTTTTCATTTTTGCCAGAACCAAGCTTCCTAATGGAAGCTTTGAATAAATATATTTTAATCCATGGTTTTGAAATTGAGACTCCTTGGGAAAATATTCTTCAGCAACAGAACATTTATTAAACTCTGGATCAATATTCATATAGCAGTACCATGGTGTATTAGAATCAATATTTTCTATATCATCTTGCTGTAACAGTCTCCATTTTAAACAGCCCCTGTTCTCACATTGTATCCACCCTTTATCTATGTAAAAATTATTTTCTTTTACAGAATCCATATAACAGGTCTTCATTCTTCTAGTCTGTAGAATATTTGTTCCCTCTGAAACATAAAGAACGATATTAAACATAAATCATTCCCATGAAAATTGTATTTCCATGAAAACTCTGTTAATAATAAAACTCTAATTACTCTCAAAAGTAAGTGATAATTAACTTCTGCAGCTTGAGAAAATACAGTGGCTATGTGGGTAGAAATTATACTTAACCAGTGGTGGGATTCAGTCGGTTCGCACCGGTTCGGGAGAACGGGTAGCTAAATTTACCTGAATTTGGAGAACCAGCTGACTTCCAGAAGTCCAGTCTAGGCCTTGGAGGCCTCCCAGGCCTAGAACAGCCCACCGGAAGTGTGTGGATGCCACTTCTGGAAGTCCGTTCTAGGCATCGGAGGCCCAGGCCTGCATCAAATATGAGAACCGGTTGTTCAGGTATTAGAATCCCACCCCTGGGATTCTAACTTATGAAAACATGTACAGGTAGTTCTCAATTATAACTGAGCTATAGGTAGTACAGGTAGTTCTCATATAGGTAATTCTCAACTATAACTTACAACCCAAAATTATGGTTGTAAGTTGTTGCATCATTAAGCTGGTCACCTTGTGACTGCAGCTAATTTTATCCTCTTTCCTATGGCATATGCTATTATCATTAAGCAAATCTATTTTATCCAATGTCTGGTTTTCACTAGAAACCAGAGGCAAACAGTGGAAGCCATCAAAAACTGTCAAAAGCATAGTCACTTGACTGTGCTGCAAATGGCTCTAAAGATGAGCTGATTGCCAAGTGCCCAAAATGCGATCACATGACTGTGCAGGGTAATGTATGTGGTGATTGAAATCAGGTCAAGTGACTGCTTTTATAAAAAGCAAACTGCTTCTGTGATTATGCTTCCATGAATTTTTCTTGCTAATTAATTGTGAAGTTCATTTAGCCCTATTAACAGATCCTTGACATGTGGCTTAAAACAAGCAAAAATAGTTTTCCAAAAAGATAGCTGATATGAGATGTTTGGCATACTTGTAAAACAGTAAATATCCTACCTCACACAGAGTGGCTGGTATAAGTTGCAAATAGTAGCTTATAAAGTCAAATTTAAAGAGTCTGAAACAATAAGGGTTATCATCACATCAGTATTTAATGCAGCATTTCAGCAGCTCTTTAAAGATAACAGTGAACCCAAATAGTTTTTGCTTTTCAACCTGGATCTAAGGGCATTTCCATATTACCATGGCTTTATTATTAACTGAATCTCTCAAGAACAATTTAATGACCCATTATAGTCTTAATAATAAAAAACAAAGAATAAATGAAGTTCACTATATTATCTTGAGCTGTTTCAAGTCCTATAATGAGAAAAATCCTCACACAAGGGAACAAAATAAATGGGAACTTGAAAACTTAGAATATTGGAGTTTAATAGACTAGCCTTCTATACAAGAAAACGGGCTGTGCAAACCACCCGGGCTAGCAGTGTATGTGCAAACAGGCTGCGGACTCCCATCTCGTGCTAGCATTCCTGTTCATGCCCACGCACATGCGCAAACAGGGCCGCAGGTGCTAGTGCGAGTGGGGAGGAAATGTATGCCAATGTGTGCGCGCACCAGCCAGCCTTTTCTACGGCCCACTGGCCAAGAGCCCACAGCCCAGTCCTGGGCTGTGGACCATAGGTTGGGGACCCCTATTATAATGCATCAGGAAATAAACAAAACTAAAATATGAGAGAACTTCTAAATCACATGTAAATTAGAGTGAGTTATACAAAAGAGGAAAACAAAGAAGTAATGTGATGTTTGAGCTTGTCACTAGCATTTAATAAATGCAAATTTTATTTTAGGGGTACGGTCAAGATAGGTCATTTCTGTAGGTAAAATTGCCTCAAATTAATTATAAAGGTGGAAGTGGATATAACATGGCATTTTTACTATATTAGTAATAATTCAGTTGCTTTCTGACAAAATCACATACACGTCCCTTAATTATTTTAATGAGAACCTTAAACATGTCCCACTGAAATGAACAATGTACAAAATTCCTCTATAATTATTTTGACCTTAGATCACTTATTGCAATTAGTATCAGCCTTTGAAGGCTCAGTGATAAAAGAATGACATTTATGTATGAATACATGTATGAATGTATGAATGCATGTAAGTATGTGTATTATGTCATTCTTACATGACATATCTCAGAATGTCATATACATTATGTTACATTACACTATTTGACAAAGTAGACCACAATCTGCTGCTTAGTAAGCTAGAAAAAGGTGGGATAGACAACATCATCACCAAATGGATCTGTAGCTGGCTGACAAACCGTACTCAGTGAGTAGTCCTCAATGGTACTACATCCACATGGAGAGAAGTAAGCAGTGGGATATCACAAAGCTCCCTCTTAAGCCCAGTACTCTTTAATATCTTCATAAATGACTTAGATGAGGGAATAGAAGGGGAACTCATCAAATTTACAGATGACACTAAACTGGCAGGAATAGTCAATACCCCAGAAGACAAACTCAGGATCCAAATAGATCTTGACAAACTTGAACAATGGGCCCTATCCAACAAAATGAATTTTAATGTGGAGAAAAGCAAAGATTTACATTTCGGCAGGAAAAATCAAAGGTGAGACCTGGCTCAAAAACAGTAACTGTGAGAGGGAACGGGGAGTCCTAGTGGACTATCACTTGACTATGAGCCAGCAATGTGCAGCAGCAGCCAAAAAAAATCCTGTGTTGTATAAACAGAGGCATAGACTCAAGATCACGTGAAGTATTAGTACCGCTTTATAAAACCCTAGTACTGTGGTGGCAAACATATGGCACGCATGCTACAGGTGGCATGCAGATCCCTTTCTGTGGGCACGCACGCCATTGCCCCAGAGGAATGCGGGGTGGGGCTGTTCCCCTGCCCCTCTCCATGCGCGCCTAACTAGTGGGAGCTGGAGAGGGCAGGGAAACCAAATCCAGCAGTGCTCTCAGTCTCTTTCTCTCTCTGTACTGGGAGTAGCTGTGAGAGCTGGGTGGGGAGAGGAGAATCTATAAAAGGAGCAGGTTTTGGCAGGATAGAGAGAGAGAGCACGTGGCCTTTGGAAGCGATGGTGCAGTCGGGACAATGAATGAATGGCGTGAGTTTGGAGAAAGGGCGAGCGAGCTAGAGAAGCAACGTGAGTTTGGACTTTGGACAAAGGGCAAGCAGGGTGAGCGAGGAAAGTAGTATGTATGTATTTGGACTTTGGGAAGGTGAACAGGGCGAGCAAGGAAAGTAGTACAGATGTGTTTGGACTTTGGGAAGGCAACCAGGCCGAGTGAGGGAAGTATCACGAGTGAGTTTGGACTTTGGGAAGGCGAGCAGGGCGAGCAAGGGAAGCGGAGGGAGTTTGGACTTTGGAGAAATGGTGAGAGAAGTGTGAACAAGTGAAGCAGAATGCATTTGGAGAAAATGCGAGAGAAGGGTGAATGAGCAAAGCCAGTTTGGAGAAAATGCGAGAGAAGGGTGAATGAGCGAAGCAGAAAGCATTTGGAGAAAGGAGATCCGCAAATGGCCCTTCATACACCTGTGGACTCCGCGGGAGGGGATGCCACGAGTGGCATAAGAGTCCACATTACCTGCGCTATGCTGCCCAGACCCCAGCCTGGTTTCAGCAGGCAGCGGCACATTCTCCTCACCACACGGAGTGGCTGGGCTGGGCGAGGTGAACTGGTGACATGCCAAACCTGCCTGGGCGTGTACAGAGGCGGCAGCAAGCGCATGCACCTGGCATCCCAGGTGATTGTTTTGCCGTGCAGCCTGACCGCATTTTGAGTGCTTCCCTTTCACCCAAGATGCCAGGCGCCAGGCGCATGTGCTCGCCACCGTCTCTGTACATGCCCAGGCAGGTTTGGCCTGTCGCTGGTTCGCCTCACCCGGCCCAGCCGCTCCATGTGGTGAGGAAAATGTGCTGCTGCCTGCTGGGGTCTGGGCGGCGTAGCACAGGTAACATGGACTCTTATGCTGCTTGTGGCATCCCCTCCCCCGGAGTCCATGGATGTGTGAAGTGGGCGAGAGCCATTTGCTGATTTCTTTCAGGGGATGCCTGTTTTTCTCCCTCCCTCATTACAAATATCTTCTCGCCACTCTGCTCTCATGGCTGTTCGGCTCTTGTCCAGCAATTTACAATGGCCTTTCAAGCCATGGCCACCAGCAGCACAACCACCAGCGGCACTGGCGGTCTGTCCCCCTCCCCTTGTCCCTTCCTGAGCATGGAGGGAGGGAGGGAGGAAGGAAGGGACTAACTGTACTTTATCACTTTTTTTCCTTTTTTTTGGTCAAGTTTTTGACACCTTTCTAGACGACTGGTGGTACTTGAATATTGCAGCCACGTCCACCCAGTGGGCCACGCCCACCTGGCACCCAGCAATAGATAAGTGGGTTTTGGGGTGCAGTTTGGGCACTTGGTCTCTAAAAAGATTCGCCATCACTGCCCTAGTAAGACCACACCTGGAATATTGCAACCAGTTTTGGTCACCATGCTACAAAAAAGATGTTGAGACTTTGGAAAAAATTCAGAGAAGAGCAACTAAATGATCAAAAGCCTGGAGACTAAAACATATGAAGAACGGCTGCAGGACTTGGGTTTGGCTACTCTAAAGAAAAGAAGAAACAGGGGTGACATTATAGTAGTATTCCAGTATTTGAGGGGCTGCCACAAAGAAGAAGACATCAAACTATTCTCTAAAGCAGCAGAGGCAAGACAAGAAACAATGGTTGGAAACTGACCAAAGAGAGAAGCAACCTGGAATTAAGGAGAAACTTCTTAACAGTGAGGACATTAATCTGTGGAACAGCTAGCCTTCAGAAGTCGTGGGTGCTCCATCATTGGAGGTTTTAAAGAAGAGACTAAACAATCACTTGTCTGAAATGGTATAGGTTCTCCTTCTTGAGCAGGGGCTGGACTGGAAGACCTCCAAGGTCCCTTCCAGCTCTATTCTATTCTATTCTATTCTATTCTATTCTATTCTATTCTATTCTATTCTACTGAAATATATTTCCATGTGTAATATGTGTACAAAATGTTGATGCATATTGTTTTATGTTTTAAACTGATCTGGGAACATTTAATTCTAAAATGAAGCCTACAGATTAAATTAAATAAATTGATCATGTTTGTCCATATGCAGTTTTTTTTATAATTTAACATCTTCAACAGATACTTCCCTTCTCCAATTGCCTTCTCAATTGGAGTGTTTGACATTGCTTCAATTTTAAAATGTTTCCCCAAACATGTAAAAGTTTATCTTTGTAACATTTTAATTCCAACCATATACAATCCGTCTAATCTAAAAGTTGTACTGATGATCATTCTTAAGCCAACACCTTATAGGCTAGATGGACAATTACAATCTCTCAAATGTCCAAATGTTATCAGCCTTAAAAATACATACAAAATATATAATTTTTAATAATAATGTCTCAGAATTTTTTTTATTGTTTTGGCCTTTTCAGGTCAATTCAGTTGCATTGTTTTTAGATCAATCACTATAGATTGCAGTGAGGGACTTTTTCACGTGTCCATGCTGGTGCTTCATCCGATTGGTTTCATTTTCTTTTGTTCATTGCACTGACAACACTGTTATTACACTTCTGTAAAATTCATGCATATGAAATGAACAAATAAATAGATCAGCAGATCATCTCATTTCACAATGAGAAAACGGAGTAGATGGCCAGCTTTTTCCCCTCTGAGGGGAAATAAAAACCATATCACACTACGTGAGGTAGCTCCGTACCATTCCGACAAATCTGTCGGCAGGGACGGACTACAATTCCCTTCTCTCCTTCTTCTCTCAACCCCCCCCCTCCCATTGCATGCCGGGAACAGAACTGCCCGAGAAGAGAATTGCCAGGGCGGGTTTGGTTCTAATCTACAGCCTCGCAAAATCAGTGAGGAGACTACGAATCCCGGCATACCTCGCTGCTGATACCCATTTCCCCCACTGAAGTGGGAGGGTATTGCCTGTACACGTTACTGTCATGTGAGATGGTGGAAGTCAGAGATTCCTGGTGAGTCTGAGGGAGTGAAAGGAGGAAAGAGAAAGAAAGGCATCGTGCGGCTGCCGGGGACTCTGTCTGAAGTTATAACCGCTCCTAGGCTGCGAGGAAAAGATGAGAAGTCCAAGCTAATGTGGCCTCCCCTTCTTGTTTTCCCCGCAGCGATCCTGTCCTGTTAACTGGTGCGAACGGAAACGAAAGGGTCCCGCCCACTTCTTCCGCGAGCTTGCTGGTTGCAGGTAACTCTTGTTGGCGTCTCTTCCCTGGCCCGCCAATCTAGGGGTGCCAATCAAGTTTCCAAGAAAAACTCCAGGGTCACTTGGCCTGTTCCTCACACGCAAAAATAGGGGCCCCAACTTGGGATGGGGTAGCTCAGCACTGGCCAGTGTTTTGTTTCCAGCACTGGTTACTGAATTAACCCATTGATTAGTTTTGTAGAATTTATTGAACCACAAACTGACCATGCGATCTATATATGCGAATAAGATACAGCAAGGTCAACATAACCAACCTTGGCATTTTGTGCAAATTCCTCTGCTGGGTTTTATCTAATTAAAAATATTACAAGAACTGAGTCCTACTGTGTTTAACAAGTCTTGCTGCGTTGTATGCGTGCATAGGATTGCAGTTTTCCTTTATGTGGAAAATAATTGCTTGACTATCTAATAACTTTTTTCCAGAAATGAGAGAATTGGTTTGTGGACTGTTACTCTGATACACAAAATATTAAAGGCCAAGCATATATTCCTTTTCCTTCTATTTATGAGAATGCAAGTTCTCTAAAACTTTTATTTATAAATCACATTTATAGCTACCTAAGATTGTTATGAGTTGAGCAATCTATAAATGTGATTTATAAACTTTTCCTTGAAACACCTCTGTAAATGTCTAGAACTTTCAGTTTTGAAATGGTGTGCAGAGATCACCAGAATCCTTTCCTTGTATATGCTTAGAACTGAACCTTTGTTGCTTGAATTTGATTGTTAATAAAAGAATAAGGAGAAATATAGAATGAAAAATATCTGACAGCATTTCAGAAAGGAAGGATGCTCTTCATTCATGGAAGTTATCAGGGATAATCAGACCAGATAACATGTTATTTTCTTTGATTTCTAAAACATGGCCAATAGTGATGTACATTTCAAACGAAAGATGCAAGAAACCACACATGTCATCCAACCTGCCTTGCCTACCCTACAAGGTTCCATCCAAAAAAGGTGCCGGAACTCCATTCTGGGCATTCTATGAGAAAAAAAGCCCTGCAAGAAACTGTCTGTTGTTTATGAATGGGCATAGTTAAGCTTTGCAGAATAAATTGTAGGTTGGGATAAGACTCAGTTTCGAATACAGATATACCTCATTTAGTGATGGTCTTGTTTAGTGACTGTTTGCAGTTACAGTGGTGATGAAAAATTAACTTTGCAACCAATCTTCACATTTATGACCTTCGCAAGTCTGTAAAACAAATGAAAGGTGAAGTAAGGTCTTAAACACAGTTGTGATTTCACTTGCAACTGCTTCGCTTAATAATTGAGCTGCCCGGCCCAGTTGTGGTCAAAAACTACCTGTATTTGACAAAAGGATTGGGCAAAGGCTTTCTGCCTTTTCACCTTTGATATGAAGGAAATTAGAATAAGTGAGAATATATGGTAACCAAGAGTGGAATTGAAAGCTAGAGATGTGTGAATATCTAAAGCTTAATTTAAAGAGTTGCTTTAAAGAGTTGCTACCTTGTTGTAAGTACTATCATCTAAATGCTATAACATATGTGTTGTTCTGAAATTTGGTCTTTTAATGAGTTAAGACAATTTAATTGACTCCTGTCCTAATTATTTTTTAAATATTTTAAATCTAACTTTGGTTCTTTTCAGGATGGATTTGATTTAAATCGTTGATTTAAATCACTAGTAAAAAGGCTTGATTTAAATCAACTTGATTTAAATCATAATTTTTAAAGAGCAACTGTCATCTCTGTCCCACAGCGGATTTTCCTCTGACCCGCTGTTGACTCACCGACAGTCCCACTCACTTTAATGGGATGGCTGGTGATAAGGCAGTGACACAAGATGAGTGACGTAACGGGCAGCAGGTGAGTGGATGCCCGCTAACAGGCACTGCCATGATGGATCTGAAATGACAGATGCTCTTTAAATGTAAGGACTCATTCTTGCTGGTAGTTAGAATCTTTAATATTACTATTTGCAAACAAAATGAAGGTTTCCTATTTAGAATAATAAGCTGTCAGGTTAGTAAAACAGTGATATCAGAACTGATTTTAGGTTAATAGGTTAATCACACATAGTTGGAGAACTACTCAAATTCTTTTATTTAATTAAAACACTTAGAGCCTGGTACAGATGCATTTCTCTTCAAACAATCATAGAGTTTGTAGTGTACATAGATTTACAAAACAATGGGATAAAGGAATATTCCTGAACTTTGTTTTATGATTTATCTCAAGGTTACTGTGAAATTGTGTGATTCACGCAGTGCATGTTATCTTAGCTTGCAGAGCTTGGATTGATTAAATGAGTTTACCAAAAATGTAAATATTGCAGAATATACAGCCTCATGCTACATAACTAAGCTCCATTTAATGCTGAATAAACTAAATTATTAATATATCTTAAATAAAAAACTATATTTAGATAGATTTTAATCCAAAAGCATTTTATTAAAATAAATTTGATAAAAATAAAAAAATCTGATTTAAATAAAAAAAATCTGATTTTTGATTTTTTTAAAAAAATAATAATTGATTATTATCCACCCTAGTTTTTAAGTTCCACTGTTACATAGGAAGACTCAGGAGTTACTAAGATGCTTTTTTAGTTTGTATATTCCATATGCTCATCTATGCCTCCTCCTCTGGTTTCTTTTTTATATAATATTTTATTAGTTTTCTAATTTTACAATTAAATATTTAAAAAACAACATGGTGGCTGGGTAGTTAATAATTCAATAACATGCATAAATCTTTAGCACAAATCTCAAGTTACAACATCAAATATTTCCTCTCTTTTTCCCTTAATATCTATTATCTCATATTGAGCTAATATAATTCTTATTGTTATCAACTAAGTAAAACCACCTTTGTTACATTTATCAATAGTTTTTAGCTTATACATACCTTAATTGTGTTTGCATTCAATCCTTATATACTATCAAAATTCTGTTATTGCTTTTTTCCAGGCTTTAATTTCCCCTCAATATTCAAATTAACATTTGGTATATATTCCAAGCTTTAGGCGACCAGAGTTTCCTTTCTCAACTTCTACATTTTTCCCTTTTTATAACAAAATCTAGAATTCTAAATACACATCTTGTCTATTTGCATATAATCTTATTCTATTTTCTAAAAGTTATCTATTTTTCACCATATTAAACCAAAAGTCTATTAATTTTATTACACATCTTACCTATTCAATTATAATGTTACTTTATTTTCTAAAAATTATCTATTTTCCACCATATTCAATCCACTAATCAATAGTATAAAATCCCCTCTACTAGATCAAAACCCTAGTTTCTTTCAGCCTTACTCTGGCTTTTTTCCTTTGCCAACTAACCTTCCATGTCAGTACTTTTGAATCCTCAAACAGTTCTCTCTCTATTATTATATGTATTATTTGAAATAAGAAAGACCATTTAATTGCAGGTTTTTTTGGAAGGACTAGCCCAATTATATTCATTTAATCTCCTCCCTATTACTCCAGTTTCCCACAATTGTCCTGGTAAATTTATCTTCCATTCAATCTGTTCTTCTTTCTTTTCCTCAAATTTCTTCTGATTTATGTAAAAAGTCTTTTCCATTTTCAATGTTGTCACTCTCTTTTCTAATTTTCCCGTTGGCTGGATCTGTTGGTCAGGTGGATCTTCTGTCTTAGTATTTAGTTGTTCTACTTATCCTGTTACTTGCTGCATTGTTAGTTCTTTGGTTGTAGTCAAGATCTGGGTTTGTATATCTAAGCTGCCATCTTGTTCCTTTATATTGCCTCTTATTTTGTTACACACTGAAAGAATGGTTTCGTGTATTGATTTCAGCATAAAAAGGATTTTTTCCTGATCTTCATCCATATTCTCTTGATAATGTATTAAGTTGAAAATTTTAAAATCAAACGTTAAAAATAGTTTTTTGTTTATTATAGCTAGGTGTGGGATGTGTTATAGGTAGTCTTTATAGTGGAAATCGTTTGCCAAGTAAGAATTTATAGTCCAAAGTGTTCCATCATCTTGTATAATAACAGATGCTTCTCATGTAAAGAAATAGGAAAACAATTCCCCACATATAGCTCTGAAAATCAGTAAAGGTTTATCTTCATAGTTCAAACAGGCCAGATATGCCACTCTGCAGTTCCTTCTTTACGGCTGAGTTTTTCACAGGTGGTATCTGACAAGGTCAAAGAGTTTTTTCTAAATTCTAGGCTTCAAGCGAAGTCTTTTTTACTCAATAGCAAGTTATAATACCATACTTCGCCACAAGATGTCACCGATCCATTTAAAATGTTTTAAGTCCCCCATTTTTATAATAGTTTTTCAAAGTTTATTTCTTTTCTTTTTAGATAAAAATCAGCGTATCCAGTAGAAATAGGAATAATAAAACTTTTAAATCCCTAAATTTCAAAAGTATATGCATCCAATTAGATTAAAGTTGTTTTTATAATTGTTTTGTTTCCCCTGAGTAGTCTGTCGCCGCTGCTCTTAGAGGGTGAGGCAGGAATTCCCTTCCCTCTCTCTTCACGGGGAAAAATACTTAGGGCAGCTTTTGCAGGAAAGATATTTAGAGTCTTAAAGAGAAGATCAAATCTCACCCAGTTTCATCCGCATTGCTTTAAAGGTGCTTGGTAGTAATTTTGATTTTGGCTGTCAGCAGCTTAATGACGAGCCATATTACTATGGACGGTCTTTTCTCTGCCGGTTTGGAGAGCTGCCCCGGATCAAGCGGAAGGCCTGCTGCCCTCCCACGATTAAGCAGAGATCCCCTCCTCACTCGTCGCCCCTACAGGGCGACTTTCGACCCTTTCCAGGGTCCCCCAGTGGGATGAAATCGGACGCTTAAGACGGAGTTCGCCTCTATGCATCCTTAGGCGCCGATGGCAAACTGGAAGTCCTCCTCCTTTGGTTTCTAACAGAGTTAGAAACCAAAATGGCAGCCCCATTTCATTGAAACAATGAGAAGAATAACTTTAAAAATAATTAATGTATTATATTTGTTGAAAAAGGTTTGAGGCTGGAGAAAATGGAAAAACTTATTTGAAAGTTAAGTTAAACAATCAGAAATAGATGAACATATTCAAGATTTGATTTACACTCTGGTACTACATAAAGACAAATTATCTTCTAATAAGTTTATATTTTTCTGTAAAAATTTGAAGATACCTGTTCTTCTCCCACCTACCTGTCTGGTACTTGGCCTTCCTGTTACAATGCAAGTTTAAATGTTTCATTATGTAGAATCCTCTTCCTAAAAATGTATTTTCAAATATAACTTTTTGGTTTGTATCTTTTGTCTGAAAGAACCACTTTTAGGTAACTATAATTTTTATAAATGCTCTTCACAAAGTCTGAGTCTTCAACAGCTATCTCAATTAATATCTGAAAGCAAACAATATATCTAAAATTTAAGACAAGAATTGATACTAAACTAAAATTGATGTAACTTATTCAAAGGGGAAAATGTCAGCAACTTCTGTAAATCTCTGCTTGAAACTTTTGGATGAAATGCCTTTATCCAATACTCCAGCTAAAGCTGACTGAAACAGCTCTATTTTTGTTACTTTTGTAATGATACTTTTTAGTGGGGCTAGTTTTTAAGTGGATTTTTTTTGTTGAATAGATATTTTACTTCACTTGTTCTGGTTATATACTTTGCAAATACTTTGCAATACTAAATGTGAAAATGAGATGATAAATAAACATATTATCTTAAAATGAAAATTCAACAGAACATTGACATCCCAAGTTGTGCTCTTTCTTTCCAAAATAGCCATCTTTAAGAAGAAATTTTAGGAAAAAGCAGCTTTTTGGAAAGTTGCTTAGGTTCAGCTACATCTATACTTTAAAAGAATGGCATGGAAGCAAAGAACAGATGAACCTCAGCCCTTTCTAATTCTTCTCCAGTATGTTGGAAGGCCTGCCAAAACAGATGGTAGAAGTGTGAGTAGCAGGAAGGATAGAAGATTAAGAGGAAATTGTGTTGTTCTATGGAAGACAATTCAAACATGATTGGATATAGCCCAATATTTTGTCAGAATTGCAAAAATCCAACAAATGCCATGTACGTATGTATATATGTGCATATTGGATGGTTAACAATGTCATGGTTATTTTTATTTAGCTATCATGGAAGAACTAGCTGAAGATGACATTGATATCCTGAACCATGAAAAAGCAGACAGCAGACAAGATGGACAATTTCCTATTCCAGTGTTTTCAGGAGAAGAATCAGTTGCTTCACATTTTGCCCTTGTCACTGCTTATGAAGATATTAAAAAGCGTCTGAAAGAGACAGAAAGAGAAAATTCTTTCTTAAAGAAAAGAATAAGATTGTTAGAAGAAAAGGCAGGTATTTTTAGCAATATATGCTTTCTTTCAAGATTATATCATTCAACATTATTAATATTAGTAACTATGATTTTTTTTAAAAAAACTAGCTTTTATCTTAAGTAATGTGTAAAGTAATTAAGCACATGTGAAACAGATTCTTTCAGTACTTGGCAGTCATTACCCGATACTTATGGCTGGGTCTAAGGTAATTCACTTGGTTTAACATTAAACAAATATTTGAAAGTGTTTAAATAATAATTAAGCCACATCTTGTAATCTTTTAGCTTCTTGAATCCCATTTGGAAGAAGCAACAGGTTCTGTGGGTCGTGAACAAGTTAACAAGGCTTATCAAGCATATCGGGAATCTTGTATTGAACGAGATAATCTAAAAAGTCAGCTGGATAAAACGGTATGTTTTGGAGTAGCATAAAAGAAAATAAGAATGTTGCATGAACCTCATGTAAAAAAGTATTTTAACATTATGGAGAAAATTAAGTTTGGATCACTGAAGACATTGAATATGATTTAGCAAAAGATACGCACTAACTTCATTTCTATGTATGGGTTTAAAATGAGTGTATATCCTTTTTTAACATCAAAAGAACGATTTAGGAATTCTTATGTGTGGCTTAAATCATTGCTGGATTTTTAAAAATATTGAATTTCTGCATCCACTTTCATTGATATTTTCTCTTTTTCTCAGTGACCCCATTTGTTTCCTAACTGTTCTGTTATTAAATGTCTAAATTTGCTGTTTGAATGAATGAAAGTGAGATGCGCATAAAAGCATAGTTGTCAAAGCTCTAGTAATTCAATACAAATGACTACAGGTAGTTCACGATTTACAACAGTTCAATTAGTGACCGTTTGAAGTTACAATGACACTGAAAAAAGTGATTTATGACAACCATTGCAGCATCCCCATAGTCATGTGATCAAAATGTAGATGTTTGGCATCTGGCTCATATTTATGACAGTTGCAATGTCCTGGGGTCATGTGATCACCTCTTGTCACCTTTTAACAAACAAAGTCAATGGGGAAGTCAGATTCACTTAACAACTATGTTACTAACAACGGCAGTGATTCACTTAACAACTATAGCAAGAAAGATCATAAAATGGGGCAAAACTCACTTAACAAATATCTCATTTAGTTACAGAAATTGTGGTGGTAAGTTGAGGACTACTTTATATATGTTTTTTAAAAATTAAGTGGAGTGCAGAAACTTTGTAGGATGAAAAATAGATTGAATGAAAAGCTCGTGATCAGTTTGGAAAGCATGCCAGCTAGCTGAGTTCAGTTGGATGTATTATTTAATTAACTGATTATTAATTAGCAATTAACAAGATTTTTCTTCTGCTCTCTAAAAGCAAAACAATATTTTCAGGGTGCATAAAAAGTACTCACATGCTATTTTTTTCAACTGGTAGGGCTTTTGAAACAGTAAAAGTAGCACAGTAATTTGGCCAGATCTTTATGAAGTACCAACTGATCTTTAGACTCAGACTTCAACTAGAATAATGATAAAGTCCTGACAATTTCTATATTTTTCAAATTAGATGAAAGAGAATACAGAATATGTGAAAATCTTGAATGAGCAGTTGCAGTCTAAAGAAGTAGAACTCTTACAGCTAAGAACAGAAGTGGAAACTCAACAAGGTGCACTTTGTCTGAGTATATAACAGTATCCATATATGCCAAGTGCTGTGATCTGCAATCTTTTTTTTTAAATAATATATTTTTTATGTAACTAAGGCATTGCTATTTCTGGTGTAGTATAATGTTCAGTAGTGATTAAGGTATTGAAAGGTATTGATTAAGACTTAAGAGGCCCAACTTCAAACATCAGCAATGAAAGCTCACTGGGTGACTGTAACAGGATATAAATCCAACAAATAATAACAAACTATGCATCTTGGAGCAATTTCAGAATGAGAATTTAGTGCAAAATGTTTCTTTTGTTATAAAAACTTAGAAACAAGTCTTAGAATTAGTTCAAGAGTGACATCCTAGCTGGTATGTGCCCATCTCACTGGAGAAAGAATTCTGTAAGCAAGAACCAATTCTAAGTAGGCCCATCCATACATAAAGAATTGGACTTATTCTTTCTGTACCTATGTAAAGATAAGAAAACTTGAGATACTACATCTCTAAGCCACTTTTTTTAGTAATCAAAACAAGGACTTTTGAGTTGAGCCTGGAAATAAATTGGGTTAATTTTACAGTTGGCAACAAGCAAGCAAGATGTTAATCATGATATATCCCAGTTCTGCAACCTTGTGGTTATATTTTGATCTAATTGTAGTTGCTGAATCATCTTTAAAGGCAGATTCACAATTAGGAGCAATATAATTCAGTAATAATCTCAGTGCGGCTCACTGAACTCGTTCTTTCTCATCAGATGAATTGAGGCTAGTACACCTATCCATGCTTCAGAGACAGCTTATTTTTTTATGACAGCCTTGGCTTGGATCAGTGACATCCTAATATTGCAGACTTCTTATTGAGATTTGTGTGGGGGAGTACAATCTTCTCAAGCACAGTATGACTGTTAATTTGATCAAAAGAACCATTTATCATCCTAGCCTTTTTTCTTGGATTGAGATTCTGCTTATTCACCAGGAAAATTCCATTGTTGCATCTTTGCATCACTTAATGCTACCATAACTTTACATGTATCGTGGAAATATACAATTAGGTGATACCAATATGTAGCTGATAAAATTATGAAATATTTCACCCCAATACATTCCATTCTGATTTTGTTGTAGACTATTCCAATGTCTGAACAGGTTATTTTGATCTTGAAACATTTTGCGCTTCTCTACTTTATGATGCCTCACCCCAGATTTTTTGATAGCTTCATCCAGAAATATGTTGACATCAGAAACTCAGAAGAGGACAAATTAAAGTGATTTCAGGCAATGAAGTCACTGTTTACCCAGCACCTTTTCTGAACTTGGCTGTCAAAATAATAATTTAATTAGCTAAGCACATCTCCAGTACCCAATCTAGAGATCCTATGCTGAAGATTATCCCACTTCCAAAAGCTACTAACAGGTCTGGAAATCATACTTTTGTTTTCTTGATTAGAACAGAGCCAGTGCCAGACCTAAATATTAAGAGTGCTTAAAATGGATATAATTCTTGTTTATGCTATAGTATTTGAAGTTTTAGAAGAAACTACTAATGCAAACGCTATGCCTTAGAAACCAAATCTGGCTGATGAAAAGTTTTGTGGAAAAAAAACATTTTTTCAGTAGTAATTATATTTTTATCTCTTAAGGTAGATGGGGTTACTCCCCCTCAAGGAACCATATTTTTTTCTAGACTTAGCTGAAAAATCTTACTGCTGATATAATAATAAAAAACACGCATATCAGTATGCTGATAATACCCAACTTTACATCTTGACTCTTGACTGAGAAAGTGAAGTTGTTGAATACCTGGATGAATGTGGAACGAGCCTGGTATCTACAGGACTCTGCTCCCAGCAGTATTTGAAATTCAGATAACATTATTGCAATCATTAATCAGAAAAGAGAAAAAAGAGACTACAGTATTCAAATACCCAGAACATCCAAAAATAAATAAGGAGGAGTGATACATTAAAAGTATGCTGAAAAGCTTCATTCTTATCCCAGCAATATTTGCCTGTTTGATAAGATCTAGTATGGCAGGCTGTTTATGTGTTGCATCAGTTAGGGATGGCAGTCTTCATGGACCATGGAACCACAGCTACTTAGTTGTTAACTTCCTTTCCATGGAATAATATCTCCCTGACATTCAGATTTGCCTGTTTTACCAAGCCATGGGGATGGTTTGCTCTAATTATTACTTCTAAATGTGAACTGATTTTCTATTTCTTTCAGTTTTATGCTATTACAATATATTGTTTTGATTCACTTGTTTAATCCCAAATATATATTGGGGAGTTGCATGTCACCCAGAATCAGTCAGCTTATTAGAACAGCCTATACGCCCTGTAAAAATAAATGATTAAAATAAATAAAAAAAATTCGTATGATTATCCAGTTGGTATGTTAGTTTCAAGCCTCAACAAATAAAACCCCTTCATTAATACTGAATAACTGTTCCCTTGGATAATTCCGTAGACTTGCTATGTCGGTCTGTTCTTTTTCAAAGTCCCAATTAAAAATTCACTGATTGAGATTGTTATTGAGGATTCAATGATTTTTATATTGTAAAATATATGCACTTTGTTATTAAGTAACATATTCAGGTTTTTTTTTAAATTGAACTGGTAATGTATGGGCAAACTTGAATATTTTGTGTCTATTTAGAGATTAATATCAGAGAACATATACAATTACAGTATATTTCTATGTGAATATTCCTTTGCTAAAGGTTTATTAACACACTCACTTGATGATTGGTCAAAAACTTTACACTTAAAAAGTAAGATTGGATTCAAATTTATCATGTACTCACAAAAAGATATATGAGAAATGAGTTTTAGCTCCATTTTATTATCTAATTTGACTATTCTGACGAAATAAAGGTCTTTTTTTCAGTGATGAAGAGTTTCAATTCTAACCCATCTAACTGGGAAATAGACAGACTGAACAGTGAGCTGAAAATGCACAATTTGGAGCTGGATTTGGAGAAAGAGAGAGAAGAATGCAACTATCTTAGGAAGGAATTGCAAAAATCTGTAAGGAAAATACTTCTGAATTATGATTTCTGTTATGAGGAGGGTACATAAAGGGGTAGCATTAAATGTTGATATGTACAATTTCTGCCTTTGAGTTTAATGGAATCTACATGGCTAGGTTTTGGTAAACTACATGAATGCTTATTGAGACTTCTAATTTTTTGTTTTTCAAAATGTGACTTTTGGTAACATTTCTAAATAATCTCAAAAACAGGCTTTGCCTCTTTATATCTTTAGTTCATTTTAGTGTGTTAGGTAATAAGATGATTACAATTACTATTATTTTGATAGGTCTAAAAATGTACTTTAGTTTACACTTGCCCAGGTGAAATTAGACTGCATATTTTGAGAACTCCACTAGATGGTGATAAAAGCAAGATGCCAAAAGTAGCTTAATAATTGTAGCTTGATAATTCTCTTAGGAAGAAAATATTTTCCATTCTGTTGCCTAAAATTTGCTGAACTATGTAATTAATGACACTTATTTGTGAATCTATTAATTACAGTAGGACTATTCAACTTTTATTCCAGTTGTTTCTCAGAAAATCTAAGTTTCATTTTTAATGTGGGTTTTTGTCATGCTCATCCTTTTCAGTAAACTCTTTAGTTCTAAAATTATCTGTGACTGAAGAACTGGAGTATGACATAAATAGAATCCCAATGATTATATCAAACTAAAATTTAAATCTTAACCTGTATCATAAGCAATCTTGATTGTACAATGACGTTTATTTAAGTTGCTAGTGGAAGTAGTAATTTAGTAGTAAGTAGTATTTTTTCTAAATACTTTGATATTTAAAACCAAGGTTCAACATACATGTTTTAAAATTGATTTAAGTAAGCCAGAGGATTCCAGTTATTGGAAAGGTTAGAAATGAAATAATTTCACTAAGTCATACTGTGATTTTGGGGGGGGGTTAGCTTAACATAATGTGTGATTCTATCCAATTTGACTTAACAGTATGAATGAACTACAAAACTGTTTTCTTGTTCAAGAAATGATTGTTAAAAAAGCCTAGGCTAACATGAAATGTAAATTTAGCCATAGTCTGAAATGGCATGTTTTAATATGACCAAAATAATATGGTCTTATGGAACTGTACTTGGGAACATTTGAATTAGAATTAAAGATATTAACTTGTGCTATAGAAAAAAAATGGAAAGATTTATTTTCTTAAAATATTGTTTTTCTGCAGGAAGAACTATTTTAAAAAAAATGCATAATGAATAATGTGGTCAGGCAAATATCCCTCATGTGGATCTGAAATACAAAAGCATATTTAAAATGGTATGCTTTCAGATAATTCATTAATACTTATGTAGGATAAGAAAACATTACTCAGTTATTATGTCTCAAAATATTTACCAATATTCCAGTAAAAACAATTATTTAAAACATATTATTTTTCTATCTAACTTGAAAAATATTCAGTACACTAGAGTTCATGGGTGTTCAAATGTTTGTTTCTAGAAGTTACTTTCAAATCACTGAATATAACATTGCAATTTTAATTGTGGTTTCCTATTCTCTTTTCCTTATCCAAACAACGTATCTACTGTTCTTAGTCATTGGATGCTTATACAATATGTAATATATAATTAATTTGGCACTGTGAGCTCAATATGCCAAATGGAAGAATCAAATATGATAAATTAATAAATTAAATCCCAATTCATTGAGAATATCCAAAGCCCAGAAGTCTGTCCCTATTACGTGGATTGGATTTGTACACTTACTCTTTTTAAAAAATTCTATTGCATTTATAATTGTTTATAGTATTTATAAGACATTTTTATAGGATTTGTATTCTGAAAGGGAAGTTAAATGCAATTAAAAAAAATCAAAACATTTTATTAACACTAAGCATTTTGGGTATGTCTGGAAAAGGTTTATTTTTTTTCTTTGTACAAGTGAGGCACATCTTTAAAAAGCCAATAGGATCTCTTTGTTTTGGCTTCCTTCCAGGTTGAATCCCAAGGAAGTTTAATAAATGGAGAGTTTATCCAACAGCAAAATATCCATAGGTATGCTTTTATTTATTTTTAATGCATTTCAGCTAAGTCCCTTTGACTAGCTTATTGAAGTCCAAGAAAATTAATTGTTTTGGATAAGAATGATGTCACTCAAGTAATGCATCTCACATTTACATAACACATCGCTGTCTTTGATAATTGGTCAAAAATGCAGAGCAGGCTATATAAGACACTGTACTCTGATACTCAATCATTTATTGGTTTTCAGGTGTTGATTTTGATTTCTGTATGGGACAGAGCAACTTTAAATATTATCTTATCATTAATCCACCTATTCAAATTGGCCAGTTATTAGTTATCTTGTAATAAGTAACTTTTTCTTCTCTCAGAAATTTTGGTAAATTATTATGAAGGATAGGACAGATCTTTCTTCTGAAGGTATGTTTTACTCCATTTTTAAAATTAGCTTTTCTCAGCTTTGGTTTTCTAATACCATGTTTCCCCGAAAATAAGACTTATCCCAAAAATAAGCCCAAACTTGATTTTTACGCATGCGGCTAATATAAGCCTTAGCCCCAACATAAGCCCTAGTTTTGGGGTGAGGCACAAGTGTTAAAATCAAACTAGGGCAAGGTGAGGGGGTGGAGCTGCCCCACGTGCCTGTACACACTTACCTTAGGACTACTGCAGCCAAGCCTCCCACACCCCGAGACCTGTCACGCTGCTGCCCAAGTTCTTCTGTGGCCATTTGCAGCCGCACACTACATAGTGCATTGCACCAGTGCTGCCGCTCCAGCAGAAGGCGTGTGGTTTGTTGCACTGATTACAGTGGTGCCGTGTGGTTTATTGCACTACTACCACTCACATGCACCGCTTGCGTGCACAATGCACCATGCAGCCTCCTGCTATGATCAGCGGCACCGGCGCAATTGGCACCGCACGCCACATGGCTTCTTGCCAAGAGCGATGGCACTGGCACCATGCACCATGCGGCCTCCTGCTGTGAGCGGCAGCACTGGTGCAATCGGCGTGATGAGGCATGCGCCTCCTGCCACAAGCGGTGGCACCAGTGCGATGCACCAGGAGGCATGCAGCCACAAGCATTCGCAGAAGAACTCAGGCAGCGGTGCAACAGGTATCAGAGCGTTGGAGGCCTGACTGCAGCAGTTCTAATGTAAGCGCTTAAGACATCCCCAAAAAAGAAGAACTGGTGCCTCGTAAGAAGCAAAAAAAATATAAGACCAGGTCTTATTTTGGGGGAAATGTGGTATGTTGGGCACATTTCCTTGGGAATTTTGATAATTGCAGTCCAATATTACATGTAAATAACTTGAGAAATATTTATCTAAATAATGTGCAAAATAATTTCTAATGTCTTAACTGTTAGGCTTCCGTAAGTTACTTGGCTCTTTATTCACTGGTGCCATGGGTGCTATTTTGGAATATTGGAATAGATTGATCTAGATTTACATTTAGAATTTAATTGCACCACTTCTTGATTTCACTTGTTAATTCTAAATATGACCAAACTTGCATCTAACACACTGCTGTAAATGAAAAACTGAAGTAGAAGTATTTTTTAATAGATAAACAAGATGTAAGTGTATGTAAGTAGGTATATCATGGGATGAAAATATAGAATTTCAAGCTGAAGAAAAGTATATTTTAGAAAGTTATTAATTAACATCTTCTTCATCTAAGCCAGTGGTGTCAAATTGCTGGCCCATGGGCCGGATGCGTCTTGGTGAAACTGCACCCATCCCATTGCTAGCATTGGAAAAAGTCGTGATACGTCATGACACATCACGTGATGTTGTGAGTTTGACACCCTTGATCTAAGCCAATCTTTTCCTGTGATCTAGCTTTTAGAGCCAGCTTTTTAAAAAGCCCATAATTCAGATAGCAAATAGTAATTGTGTCTATTTGAGACATATTGAAGGAATGTATTTACTTGTATTTAAAATGCTTATCGTTTATGTTTTAGTTAGAAAGTGATTCTCAAGTGATTAAAAAGAGATAATCGCTACTTTTGGCTTTACTGCTGAGACATGTGTCACTTAAAAAAATAACAGTCAACTTTTATATAGATCTTATCATAGCTGGCAATTATACCATCTTCTTAACATCATTACTGCAGGTGGATGTTGCAGCCTTGTTAGAAACATAGTGAATAATGAATCATGAAGCACAGTGTCATGAAAAGGTCACAACTTATGTATTTGTGTGATGACCTCACTGTACATATGTCACTTTGATATCATGAGAGTTTGCTGCTGACACTGGTAATCATGTTAGCTGGAGATAGAGGGCAAATTCTCCTATTGTGTGATGAATGGCTTTTAGGGAAAGGCTAAAGAAATGTGCTTTCTCTTCCTCTTTTTCTGACCTGACAGAATCCTACTTAAGGTGATAGTCCATATGAATAATATGAACAATTGCTCTCATAGATATTACCTCTGCTGAATGACTAAGCTACTTATATAAGATTTTAATATTGAAATTAGAGTGGGGCGTGGAATGATTTTATTCCTTATTTTTGTTTCTGATGGTATATTTTAAAAAAATGTTTTTATTATGAGTTGTCCAAAATCGGGGAATTGGGCAGCATACAAATTTAATAATAAATGTGTTAAAAAAACAGACCCATTAAAATTAGTAAAATATATCTTACACATATGTATAAAGGCAACATTACTCATTCTCTGTTTCAGCAATTATAGTACTGTTTTTGTTTCTGGCAGTTGAAGATATAAGATGCTCCAAAATTTGCAAAAATAATGCATTTTGATGCAGATAAAGCCTAATGTTGCATTTTATTCAACCACTGCCTTTTTCAGAAAGCTGTAGGAAATTGTTTCTTGACAGTAGTTATTTAGCATTAGTAGCTGCTTGTGTAATATTCATTGCAAGATTTTGAATGAATCCACAACAAAAAATTGGCATGGTGACAAAGTAAACCTGTTCTAATGCTAGTGTATTTTTCTAAATAAGGAACATTATGGGGGTAGTTAAGTCCACAATATTGCAGGTTGAGACCAAATAGATATGGAATTCAGTTGCTAGTCCTTTCTTCAAAACATTGTTTACACAGTTTTTTTAGAAGTTAGTGCTATAAATCTAAAAAAAGGCATCAGAAATGTAACCAATGAATTAATATTTTCAGTTCTCACAAATGCATTTTCCTTGTTTTCCACTTGAGGGAGGAATAAGACTTGATTACAAGAAGTTATTTTATTTGTGACTTGCGTCAGAAAAAATGGAAGCGGATGTGTAAAAATATATTTGGTTTCCATTCTATTGCTATCTCATTTAGTTTTTCCCTTAATCTTGGCTATTTAACTATGTTTTTGCTTTTCTCTTCTCTTCACCAAACAAGTATTTGATATGTGATGCTATCAATCCATCATTATTACAGTTTTCTTTTTAAAACATCTTTTCTGTATTAATCTTTTATGCAAATTAGATGTGCACATTTTGTATTGTAAAACCAGCTGTAATTCATATCACCTGTGAAAACAAGTCTACAGCTTTTTTCACACCTAAAGGAACTTGTTTGAAATGTTTGTTTCAGCAAGTATCCTTTGATTTAATATGGATGTCAATATTTAACTGCTAATATTCTTGTAAAATCTTTGTCACTTCTCAGTGATAGGAAAGTATGTGATCAACTATGAATGTTTAATTTTAACATTTTTATACATGTTTGTGTAGATACATATACATTGTGTTGGTTCAAAATAATTAATTTTGATGTGATTAACAAAGTATGTGACATTGCTTTTGTGTATATTAAGAGGTGTTGTTAAAAACAATAAAGGCTTTTTACCTTTCATACAGATGTTAGGTTTACCTTTTGATAAATGGCTGTTTTGTGATTGCAGTGGCACGTATTTTGTTACATTACCCAAACTCTGCTCTTAAATCTGTCTACAGCTTTTGGCCAAAACATTGTCTATTCCTTTAATTTAAAAAAGGTAGATCTTTAAAGTTATAAAAGTTACCAGTTCAGTGCACTAAATGCTACTCTAGTAGGAATTTTTTTGTAAATGAAAAGTATACAGTATTTGCTCTTTGTCTACAAACTGCTTGCTTAATCTGTGTAATCCTTCACATCAACAGAATAGGAGCATGTTTGCCAAAAGTAGTTTCCAGTGATGAGTTGACCAGATGTTTTCTGAGATGCAGAGACTCTTCAGGTGTGATAGGCAGATACGATCATTCCCATTAGAAATACAAGAATTAGTATTCCTTAATTTCTGGATAAGTTAGTGGTTAAAGCAACAGATTAGAAACCAGAAGATTTGAGTTCTTATCTCATTTTAGACATGAAAGCTTGTTGGATAATTTTCAGCCAATCACTTTCTCTAAGACCAACTAATTGTTATTGTAGAAAAATGGGAGGAAGGAGTATGTTCACCACTTTGAATTATTTATAAAAGTAGTAAAGATGAGATAAAAACTTTTTTTTTTCACTCAAAGTAACATTATGGCATTTTCAGGTGTATTTCCATGCTTTAAGAGAAATTATTCCTATTCAGGGATTCAATCAGCTTGGAATGAGAGCCCTCTAATGTTTTTTATTCATCTATGAAGATACTGGAGTTACTGCCTTACAAGAAGGCTAGGAACATAAAAATTAAGCATGTGTGGTTGCATAGCAAGAGATAGGCATTTATGGAGATTGAATCATCCTTCCATAACTGCAATTTAGAATTTAAACTCATAGTCTGTTTTTTCCCATGACCATTGCTATAAACTGCAATACTCTTTTCAGCTAGCCACATTTTTTAATTCTTTTACTAGCTATCTAAACATGCTAGGTCACAATTTTGAGGAAGGACTGTATGATGCGTAAAGCTAGTCAATTTTGGCTCACAGTTATTAGGGAAAGACTAAAAAAATATTTTAAGCATCCTGATGCTTAGTTGAGATGAGAGTAATTAGAAATACATTTGTATATATTTTTTCTAGAGGTTAAGTATTGGACTAGGACAGTGATGGCGAACCTTTTAGAGACCAAGTGCCCAAACTGCAACCCCAAACCCACTTGTTTATTGCAAAGTGCCAGAGCTGTATCAGGATGGTGGTGCCCTTGGGGGGGGGCGGACGGCATGGCCCACTGGGTGGGCGTGGCTGCAGTGGTCACGACAGACTGGGTGAGCGTGGCCGGGGCCAGGGCGGTGGGGGCTAGTCCTTCACCATCTCTGGAACACCCCTGGGGGGCCAATGCCGCTTGCTCGCTCACTTCCTGCCCTGTCGCTTCCAAACACCACATGCTCACTACTCTGGTGAACTCTGTTGGGGCAACAGCGCGCGTGCCCACGGAAAGGGCTCTGTGCCACCTCTAGCATGCGTGCCATAGGTTCGCCACCACTGGACTAGGAACATGAACATGTGACCTGCTTATGTTTGGAAGTCAAGTGGGTGACTTGGGGCCAGTCATTCCCTTCAGCCCTTGCAACAATGCAGTGGCAAACCACTTCTATAAATGGTGCCTAGAAAACTGCATAGACTTATTTATTTAGTCACCAGAAGTCAGATCTGATTCAGTAAAAAAAAAAGAGAGGAGTCTTATATTTTACGGGTCATTCTCAGGATATGAGATCAGTGGTAGGGGGTGGTAAGTAGCAAATTATTTTTTTCTATAATTTTAGAACTAGAGATTGCCCAATGAAGCCATTTGGGATGGTTCAGGATGAGCAAATAAGTGTGGAATGTGTATCTTAAAATGAGATTGTTGAGCGAAGGCGATCAGCGCCAAAGACAGAATTAAAATACATTAAAAAGATGCGGATAAGCACTGGTAGGGAGCCATTATTAATACAGATAGTCTTTGGCTTACAGTGGCAATTGCACCCAAGTTGCTATTGTTTAGTAATTCCGGTAGGCCTGATTGCTGCTGCTAAGTAAGGACCTCATGTGACTTTTGAATTCCTGCTAGCTTCTCCATTGACTTTATTTGTGCAAAGCTGGTTGGAAATTGTGATCATGTAACCATGGCTTGCTACAATGTTGTAATTGTGAGCTGGATACCTGAATTGCAATCATGCGACCATGGGGATGCTGCAGTGACTGGAACTCTTGATGACAAGTCTTAAGTACCATTTGTTCAGCACTGTTGTAATATTGAATGGTCACTGAATAAATATTTATAAACTAAGAAATTACATGAACATTTTTTTGTATTCATATGCTGAAGCTGATTTAATCAGCTGTAACTTTCTCTTCATCTCTTGTCTCACAGCAGTATTTTTGTTGAACCAATTAATCGAAAGTATATTTTGTATAAATTAAGGAGTTAGAACTTACGTCTTTTATAGCAAGCTATTGCAGCTTTCCTTTTGTTCTTTGAATCATTATCTTTTGTTGTGAAAGTTTATCTGTTTTAAACTTTTAAAATGTGTTTTAGTGAACGTGTTCAGCAGGTATACAGGGAACTGAAGAGGGAGATGTCTAATTTGCGTCTGGTGACTGAAGTGCAAGCTGAGATGCTAAAGAAAGTGATTCCATCTACAACTAAGAAAGGCAAGTTTAGGTTTGCACAATCAAAAATCTGAAAGAAAGTGTAGAACAATACTACATCATTTTAAAATGCAGCTTGTTACTACATCTTAACTCAATTGCATCAATTTAGACTGATAAGCCTAATTTTTTATTGTAATTCCAATTTACTTTCTTTCTCTAACTGGTCAACTTCACATATAAATGTATTGCTGATGGGCCTTTCCTTTTATGCTGTATTCTCTTGTCACTTTCCCCCCTCAATAAGATATTAATTGTACAAGGCTGAGGTGTGAGTTGTATTTGACCTTTTATTGCAACTATTTTATATTTTTAAACTCTTCAGTTTTCAAATGTACTTTTACACAAATAATAACTTTTTAAGAATATAAAAAGAAAAATCTATTATGTATTGCATTTTTACTATGGTAATTTGTTAATCTTAAGCTTCATTTTATAGACAATATTTCTACAGAGAAAGTGTGATTCCAAGCTTATTTTTAAATGGAAAATTCTTGACTGCTCAGGAATTTTTTTGTATCCTCAAAATCCTTAAGTCACAATCTTTTTTCCAACATTGAAAAGCACTTGAATACAAATTGTCATCTGTTTTTGTGTGAATGGAAGCCAAATCAAATATGTATGTTTAATTGGTCCATGCTGATGTGGTCATAAGGTGAAAATGAAAGTTGCACTTAAAATTGAATTTAAGGAAATGTACAGGGCAAAAACCAATCTATTGCCTGTGTTATCTCATATACTTTGTTGAGAGATTCTCTCTGAGGCTGCTTGTTTTAAGGAAGCACAGGGCTAAGCGTTAAAAGTTTGGGGTGGGAAAGAGTTAGCTCATGTTACTCCCCTGGTGTGTTAAAAGTTAAAAAGGCCATCGCTGCTGGATTAGCCCATATAGTACAGGTTGAGTAAGAATAAATATGAGAGCCAATCAAAGGAAGAACAAGCTTCCTACAGTCTTATAGCAGCAAGAGATAAATCTGCAATTAGAGGAACAGATATTTGGTAGATACTGTTAATAGCATGTGAACTGTATTAAGTGTAAATGATTCACATACTTGATTCTTTCCACAGGGCCATCCTATACCTCTGTTCAGTGTGTTGAAGATCTTGAAAGGGACGCTAACAACCTCCACTTAGATGCTTCTGGAGCAATATGCAAAAAAAGATTACTTCAAACAAGTGATGATGTTTTCAGTAATCTTGCATCTTCCTCACCATGTACTAATGAGAAATTTAGCTCTGTATGTGACTCTCCATTTCTGGAACATAACTCGTATGGAAAAAATTCTCTGGAAGATAATTCTTGGGTATTTCCAAGCCCTCCAAAACCTAGTGAAACAGTATTTTGGGAAATGAAAAACAGAGTGACTCACTTAAACTTTCCAGGAAACAACTTGGATCAGTATAACCAAAACTGCTTGCATAAGAGCCAAGAACAGTAGGAGGAACTTGAAAGTAGTCCTGAATATGGTCTTGTATTTGTTAATAGAAAATAAGTAATGGGGAGGAGTATAATGAACTTTCAAGTTGGATGAGATTTTCCCTGTTATCTAAACTTGAAAAACAATGAATTCAAAAGAATATGGTGAATGATCTGTTATATCCTCAATATTCTGATTGCACATTGGCAGATTTCTAAAATATTAAATTGTGGAATAAAACAGAAGCAACGTGGTATGAATAATATTGCTCCAAAGTACGTTACATTCAAACATTTTGACAGATACGAGAAGGACTTAGTTTTTGGATAAGTTCTGATTTAAGCTCAGGTAATTAATATATTCAATTCTGAAGCAGTCTCTGTTTTTTTTATTAATAGATGATATGCGGAAAAGGAGCAAATGAATTGTGTAGAAATTATTTTCATTCCTCTTTTTCAATTTATCAACTTATCCTTGTTACCCTATAATGAAAAAAATGGAAATAGTGTAAAATGGAAAAGTTTCTAAATGCTGCAGTAAAATATTTCATCACTTCACAAATAATATCATGTACTTATTGCTTCCTGTATTGAGGATTTCCTGTCCAAAATGCAATAATTGTTTTGAGGTGAAATATCCAGGCTCCTTAATACAGCATGGAAGAACTGTAACATTCCAAATAATGTAATCTTTCTGTGATTTCACATTTCTGATATTCTATACTGAAGAAGATGCATTGAAATAATTTTACATCCTTTCTATCTCATTTTATTAGCAGTAAATCTCAGTTGAATTCTTAAACCCTCAAATCAGTAGAGATGTTTTTATTAGCATATCATTGGTTAGATCTTCAACAGTAGTTTTATGTATCTGGTATTTAAGATGCAGAGGGGGGGGGGGGAAGGATCTAACAATATAATGATGGACCAGCTGCAAGTTTTGTTTACTTCATTGCTCAAATCTCATCTGGTCATTTCCACATGTACAAATTCATGTATACTGCCAGTTCCCATTTGTTTCTGAATGTGTATTTGAAACACGAATAGAGAAAAGTAAAATCTATAGTGGAAGAAATAATTGTATGTTTCTGAAAGATAAAAACTTCCCATATGGTTGTGCAGATGAGCAGCACGACCATATCAGCGTTATCTTCCCTTCCCTTTCTTTGCATTGCATTTTGTATAATTCAGTACTGATGCTTTCTTCCTTGTCATTACTAAAGAGAATATAGTCTGTGGAGGGAAATGAAAGTGTGGAGTTTTTTTCCTGTATTAATGAATGGCATACCTAAATAATGTTCATCAGATTTTTTTAAAGTCTCGTCTTGTTCACATATCCTACCTTGTCTGTGATTAATAGAAATGGTGTCAGATGCAGGAATTTATTTTGACCAATGAACATAACTGACTCAAGGGAGTACAATCCTCCTGTAGAGTAATAGAACAAGCCCCAATATGCATATAATAAATCTAAGCCACTGACCTCAGCTGATAGAACCAACTACCTGTGTAATAACAAAGTAGCAGCAACCATTTCTCATGTGGCTGCCTAGCTCTGATGTTTTCAGGACTGCTTTTTTGGATTACAGATCCTTGAATAGGTTACCATTATTCAACATGCCAAGCTGCTTCATGTTTTTAACAATGCATTGAGGATACAGCCATGTTTTTAAATAAGTTATTTTTGTTTGAAACAATTGTGTGCAAATTGGTAGAAACCTTTTTTTTAAAAAAAATTGAATGCTCTGAGCTGTATATTCACCTATACTAATTAGAATCCTAAATTAGAGCAAATTCTGATGCTGGCCAAATTCTGTAAATGAGTAGAAAACAAATCCTGGAATAGATTTCATTGTTATAATTAGGAATGTATAAACTTCCTTCAGTTTAGGAATATAGCATTCTCTTTCCCTTTCAAATCAAGATATTCTTGGGGTAGAAGGGCTTTAAGTTGATTCTAACATTTGATTATTTGATTTATATATTTAAAATAACATAATCTTACTTAAAATTTATATTTTTAAAGAGATCAAAGTAGAATACATTAGAAAAGGAAGTGGGGGAAAAAGCAAATATAACTCCAGTACTAAATATCAGAGACTGGGTGAACCATTTCTAATCAGGGCTGTTGTGTTTTATGAGCTGCTCTGATATACTGAAATAATGTTTTAATCTCTTAAACTCCTTGAAGCAGAAACCTTGAAAGCCTATATTAATGTATTTTCTTAAATGATGGTTAATTCTAGATGGCTAATTCATAGAAAATAAACATTTTTTTTGATCTGAGAAATAGTCACTTTTTGATTCTTGCTACCATCGTTAAAAACTGAGTTCAAAGTCATGAAGGGGTGTGTATGATGAAGCATTCATGAAATTATGAATCTGAAGTGCTTTTAGGTAGATTTAATCAGAGTTTGCTTCTTAAATCTATTATTCTTACTCGTGCTAATGAAAAGAATACGTTTTCTTTCAAGTTTCATGCAAATAGCACCATTTAAAAACTATTTTGAGCTGCCAATATGCTCTTGGAATGAGAGTTTCTAATGTTTCTGCCATAAGCAATAATTGGAATTAAAGATCAGCTACTCCCTTATTTTTTATTCCGTAGCTACAAAGGTAGGTTGGGGATACACTGTGTTAAATGTTACAACCCAAATTGCAGAACATTTATTTTAAAAATTGTTAAAAATTGTTGTATGAAACAACAGGATAGCTCTTTCAGGTCTTCTACTAAAAATCTACTTAGAACATCATATGATATGATCTAAAACAGCGGTCCTAACTTTTCCAGCTTGGTGGACTGATGGATGGGGGGAGAGGGGATAGTTCCATGTGAGCAGCAAGCGCACATGAGCATGTGCAACTCCATTTGCACTTACGAGGGTGAGCTTCATTCACAAGCACAAACACCCACTGCTCACACAAATGGAGCTTCATGCATGAGCATGAGCACCCACCGCTTGTGCAAATGGAGCTGTGGGTGTGCTTGCACACCCACTTGCACAGCCTGGTTTGATCACAACGCAGCCTGATAGTGGAATGTGGCCCAAGATTGGAGACTCCTGATCTAAATGAATGCATTAGCATTAAAAGGAGACCAGAATTTTTTCCTTGTTTTTAAAGCTCAATTTTCTGTAAGCTGTCTAATTTTTTTTATTGATAGCCTGCTGATGCTTAATTGCATGAAATTATAGCAGAACTCTGGGGCTAACAGACTGCACATGCACATCAAAACGTTCAGCAGGTCAATCAAAGATTAGCACTCTGTATCTTCAGCAAATGCACATGCATGTGTATACACACCCAAAACTGCTTGCAAAGTAAACTGCAGTACAATATTCATAGAATCTACCCAATCATTCATGGACTTTCCCATAGCAAAATTCAGAGAAAGGCAATTTTCCAGGCAGACTTTTGTCTGACCATGTGTTTAAATATTCTTTCAACACTTCACTGCCATATTCATCCTGGCTAAAACTGATATCAACGGGGACTTGACTTACCTCTGTTGGACTGGTTAGAAAAGTGTGAAAAAAGCAGCCAAATCAGAAATCATAAAAGCCTAACCGTAGGACTCAGAATGGGATTGTGTTTTGTTTTTCATGGACACCAAATTCAAAGCAGTAGTTAAGAGAGCATGTTCCAAAATCATAACATTTTACACCTCAATATTCTTTACTGATTAATCATTTGCTGCCCTAGCTCCTTATTTCAGATATCATGAAAAAAAAGGGACCATCTATTTTATATATAGAAACTCAATCAACTGATCATTATAAAAGAATGTGAAAGCTGGAAATATTCTGTAGTGTGCAATATATTTCTCTGTAAATGAAATGAGGAAAAGGTACAAAAAATGAAAAATCAGTTAAATTTCAGTTAATTTTGATATGAGTCATTACATACCACTTATTTAATATGACATAAGTGATACAATATATTTTGTGATATGTTCTTCACATTAGGAGGGAAAAGCAAAATGCTAAAATTCATGAAGCTTTATTTTCATATATATTGGATGAGAGTAAATTCCCTGAGAATCATTTTAACCATGTATTTGAAACGGGTTGCATACAGTTAAATAGAGAAACTTTTTTTTTAATTTGATGCCATTACAATAGCCCCACATTATAAACCTCAATCTGTGAGCACTTTTTCCGGCGGCATAATTCTGTTACCCGCTTTTGTCTCGGTTTTCCACATCACCTATTTTATAATCTTTATCTATTCTTTGACAGGATATTCAGTTCTATTTCTTTGCATCTCAAAAAAATAATATCCTAACACCACAATACTGTACATTTTGAAGGTAGAATTGATGAATATCAGATGTAAAATGTTGTTGACACTGTCTTCACTCTTCAAATGTCGGATTTTAAATCTTCTCACAAATCCAAGCTCTGCAAATGGATTAAAATTTATTTCCCTAAATATAACTGTACCACAAAAACAACATTGGGAAATATTGCACAAACAATAAATTATAATATATGACTAATATATGAATTCTTAGTGATTGTTTGATTAAATGCAAAGATAACATTACATCTTCTGAAATTTCCAGCATTTATAACCAGAAATAGTGGATTTTTAGCTCTCTATTTTCTTTTATTATTTATTTTTACATTATTTCTCTAAGGAAATTATTTTCCCACAAGACCTAGCATAGTGGTCAGGAATAACGGAAGTTATAATCTAACAATACCTGGAGTGTCATAGGATTCTTCCACAATTATTTTTTTCTTTTGAAAATGAGCACTTGTTCTGATTGAAATGAAAAAACATGGGAATAAAACTACTGAAAAGTATCTAATGATAGAGCAGTCTGAAAAAAAGTCCTTATTCAGAATGTACTGAAATTCTGAATATAAGGAAGACTGTAGTCTAGGGTTCTACCTCTACTTTTTTGAAACAGGAGTGTTGCTTGGAAGAATATTTTAGAATCTTTATGCAAAGTAACAAAAACACAGGCCCAGGTTTCTTGTTACAGTTTAACCAACCAGGGATTAGAAGATAAGGTGACAATCCCCACTGCAAAAGTCAATGAGAAATCTGTTTTCCATGTCTCAATAATAAGAGCAGTAGAGCCTTAAAAGCAAAACACAGTTTGGTATTCAACAGCCCATTATTCCATGTGTAACTTACACAAATCAGTCAAAGGCACTATACACTTACAATCACAGTAAGGATACAGACTGAATTATATTATTCCTGTTCAATAGTACATGTTTGCTTGTTAAGAGATATAATTTACTGATGCATATAACAGAAAGATTAGTAGAATGGCTTATTTTCATCTTTAACAATTTGTATCAGTAGTCCTCAATGTATGGCAACAATTGAGCCCAAACTTTCTGTTGCTAAGTGAGACAGTTTTTAAGTGAGTTTTGCTCTATTTTACTACCTTTCTTGCCACAGTTGTTAAGTGAATCACTACAGTTGTTAAGTTAGTAACATGGTTGTTAAGTGAATTTGACTTCCCCATTTACTACTTGTCAGAAGTTTGCAAAAGGAGATCACATGACACTGGGACACCACAACTGTCATAAATATGAATCAGTTGCCAAGGATATGAATTTTGATTATGTAACCATGGAGATGCTGCAATGGTTGTAAGTATGAAAAACATTCATAAGTTACTTTTCAGTGCTGTTATGATTTTTAACAGTCACTAAACTAATGTTACATTGGGGACTACCTGTACACTTTTTTTTTTGAACCATTCATTTCCCTTCCTAAAAGCTTTCCAGCAGCTTTCTCAAATTCAGTGATTATTAGATGGGTTGGGATTTCAAAATGAGGATTATATTCTTCATATATCTAACATCCATCAGGTGGCAATCTATAGGAACTATTCTTAAGCAATTCTATTTTAAAAATTTTGTGTGGAATTTCTCCTAAAGTGAGGATCTGAAAGATCGGCATTCAGTTCAGATATATCATCCTCTGGAGGACATTCACTTGGCAAACCAAACCCTATGAGGGTTTGAGAGGGAAGAAATATTGCAAAGGGCCTCTCCTTTGTTACTTGCAGATATTAATCATGTGCAATCAAATAAATAGTTCACTTGTTGTAGACAAAAGTGGAATGCCATTAACATAAAAAAAAATAACCACTGGAAATCAGCACACACTTTCCTTCCCAAAGAACTACGTTCTATCATACTTTAAATATTGTTAAATTTGTATTGTCCAAATAAATAAGAATAAAAGATGGAGATTTATTTTGCGGTGTCCTGAAAAATAGGTATATACAGTGATTTAATGTGTTGTGGCAGAGCTGCATGTTTAAATGAACTGAGGAATTACTACTGATGTACCAAACTGAATACCCAGATTTGATTAGCTTCTTTAGCACAGGCATGTCCTTCAGGATTTTTGTATTTTAGTTTCATGTATTTTGAGAGATTTAGACTGAGGAAGTCAGAAAGAAGTTGCTGTGCTTACATAAGTTCAGGTTTAAAATGTCAGCCATACAACTTGCCTAGGTGCTAGTAGAATGTTTCTGATGAGGAACACTTTGTGCTGCCCTGTATTCTTCCCTGGCTTTCAAATACTCAGCCTTGCATTCTTCATAAAATGCTGGATCACTATAGCTAAAAAAATAGGCAAAATATGTGCATTAATTTCTTCACTCAATTACATAGAAAACGTATAGAGCAAGAAGGAATAGAGCTGGGAACCCTCTAATACCAATTAAAGTATATACCCTGTTTCCCTGAAAATAAGACCTAACCGGAAAACAAACCTTTGCATGATTTTTCAGGATGCTCATAATATAAACCCTACCCCCAAAATAAGCCCCAGTTAAGATTGTCCGCATTTAGTACCGTATTTCCCCAAAAATAAGACATAACCGGAAAATAAGCCCTAAAGCAGGGGTAGTCAACCTTGGCTCTTTTATGATTCGTGGACTTCAACTCCCAGAATTCCTGAGCCAGCTGTGCTGGCTCAGGAATTCTGGGAGTTGAAGTCCACGAGTCATAAAAGAGCCAAGGTTGACTACCCCTGCCCTAAAGTGTCTTTTGGAGCAAAAATTAATATAAGATTTGGTCTTATTTTTGGGAGACATGGTATTTTATAGAAATGCAAATCACTTCAGCCTTAAATGTTTAAATGAGAACCTATCTGCTATGGCAAAATGCCTCAAAAATAATTCTCTATGAGAGACATTAATTTTCAGAATTCTGTGTCTTCATTGTCTACCTAAACACATAAACATGAGGTGTATATGAAATAAAAGATACTTAGGAAAAACAATACATGGAATTATAAAAATGTATGATGTAACCCTGCACCCATGTCCTATTGAAGGTTCTATTAGGCAGCCCTGGATACTTTGCAGGTATTCTTTGCACGCACAAACATTTTCCCTTGGACTGGAAACCAAGTCCTTGTACACAAACATGAATGGGAAAGCCCCTGGGGAAACTCTCAAAGCAGCTACTGTTATGTTGAACCTTCTGGAGGACGTGGATGTCATAATAAACCATGGGAGGGGGATTAATGTTGGACCTTGTGAAATGCTTTGTAAAGCCCTAATATGGAGAATTCATAGGCACAAGTAAACAATTTTTGTTTATGAAAACAAAAGCATATAACCCAGCAGGTGCAATTTCAGTAATAGAAGAATAAACTTCCCCACAGGGAAGAGAAAGAATACAGGTAGTCTTCACTTACTGACCAACTATTTCAGTGACCAAAGTTATGATGGCACTGAAAGAGGGAACCTATGACAGGTCCTCATAGTTATAGCCATCACAGCATCTCCACAGTGATTTCATTGTGATTAGAATGCTTGGCAACTGATTCATAATTATGATAATTGCAGTAATCCTATAGTTACGTCATAGCCATTTGTGACTTTCATTGCTGGCAAAATCAATGGGGAAAGCTGGCAGGAGGTTGCAAATAGTCATCACATACCCACAGGATGTAGCCATGCAAAATCCACTTAATGATGGCAATTGGAAGGACCACAACCACTGTCAAAAGTTGTTGCTTTACATTCATTAACCCTTAGTTGTTGGTCCTAATTACCACTATTAAGCGAAGACTACCTGCATTCTATCCAAAATAGAATTCTTATTTATTTAACCAGATACTTGCCTGTAACTATTCTCTGACATTTCTGGTAAACAGTATTCTGAAATTTCAAATTACAGAACCTGATACATGTAATTAAATTTACATTTTGTCCTAGCCCCACCTTTTCCTTTTTTGCTGTGACACCTAACTTAATACTCCATAGTAGTACAGAACATTTCAGATCCCTCCATATTGGCTATCTTAATGTAATTTAAAAAAAAATTGAAAGTTTTTTAACTTTGGATTTTTTTAAAAAAATAAATGGAAGAATTCCTATCCAAAATAGTATTTTTCCCCAAGACTAAATCTTATTTATATATTTTTTTAAATTTTCCTTACAACACAGGATTTTTTATTTTTTGGTTTGTTTTAAGTTATCTGTTTGGTTTTGTTTAACATTCCCTTAATGCTCAGTATTGTTGCTACAAATCAAATCATTTTAAAAATAGAGAGACCACACATAAGTATTTTTCATATATCAAGAACTTTCTGAATAACTCTAGCAATTCTACAGCTTTCAAATATATGGCAATACATAAGTGTTTCTGATCTTAGATAATGAAGTACAACACAACACTTTGTCTCCCCAGTGTGTTTGGCCAACAGCTCCCATTATCATAGACCACCATAGCCCAGTTGGCTGGAAATACTGAGAGTTATAGTTTAACATAACTGGAGAATGGCTGGGTTATAGATATTCCTCCTCAAAATGTCCACCATGAAAAGTTGTATTCTTTTATGAAGAATCTGCTACAACAAAAGAACAAAAGGAGGAAAAAATCAACTGACAAGGAACAAATAAATAAAAACCAGTGCAAGTTATCTCAGTGTTCTGATATTATAGATTTTCCCAATTTAGTGCCTTCTCAGATTAATCAGTCAGTCAAACTGATGGCCAATACGCTGCTGATAATTCAAAGAATTAAAACAAGATCTGTATCATGCCGTTTTTCAAAATAAAACAGCAATGGATGCTTTGAAAGGTGAGGGCTTCCCATTCAGTGCCTTTATACTTACTAGCCAGTGAGACATTCTTTCAGGAGTTTATTTTCCTTTTGGCACTTTACCACCATAAGAAAACCTGTGTCTTTGCAACATTTGGTAAAGTCTGAAAAAAAAACAAATAGATGCAAAGTGGTTAGGCTTCAACAAAGGAACAGGTTCATATATCCTCATGAAGATTAAGCACTTTTGACTGGTGCTTAAATTATTCATTCACAGTAGGAGGAAGAACAGGTTAAAGGATGTATAATAAAGTGGGCTAAGAATTTTTGTTATACTATACAGATGAATCAATGGAAAATATGTTATTAGCAGATTTAAATTTATATTATGTTATATTAAAATGAATTCTTATAAAATGATGCATTGTTGGTACATGACATCAAAGAAATTACCCAGAAAGTAGAAAGGCATTTCAAATGTATGCTCAAAATGTGAACAACGTCCATTATGTTTGGTAGACATGTAAAAAAAAGCTAAAAAAAATGGATTCAACTATATGTATTGATACAGAGAGTTTTAAATGAATAATTAATTGAAGCTAGAACTTTTTCTTTTAGTATTGATGGGTAAACAGAAAAAAGGCTTATAAGATTATTTCAATTTATAATTACTGTGATGAGATTACTATATGCACTAAGATGGAAATGTTTGGCATTTCTGACTGTGGAGGAATGCTTGGTGAAATTTGCGATATGGACAAATGGACTACTTTGAGAGAAAAGGTCATTGCTAACATTCATCACTGACTGGAAATTATGTATGGGCCTTTTGTGTGAGAAATATAAGAATTTTGTGATTTACAGTTTTGATGATTAGAAAGAGTAAGTTATAAAAAGAGGAGAGTTATGATGTAATTAGAAAAAGTGGTTTGACTAGGGTTGTATGCAGTGATGGGATTCAGCCGGTTCGCACTGATTCGGTAGAACTGGTAGCTACATTTTGCTGCATTCGGAGAACTGGCTGGCTTCCAGAAGTCCAGTCCAGCCTCCCAGGCCTAGAACAGCCTGCCAGAAGTGAATGGATGCCACTTCCGGAAGTCTGTTCTAGGCCTTGAAGGCCCAGGCCTGCATCAAATAAGAGAACCGGTTGTTCAGGTATTTGAATTCCATCACTAGTTATATGCATAATTGCTGTGATATTGGAATATGTATGTATGTATGTATGTGTGTGTGTATGTGTGTATGTGTGTATGTATGTATATGTATATGTGTGTGTGTGTGTGTGTGTGTGTGTATATATATATATATATATATATATATATATATATATATATATATATATATATATATATATATATATATATATATATGTCTTTGGTTATTCGGGTTTTTCTCCCGCGTAAAATTGGAAGTGTCTTGGCGACACCAGCCTGAAGATGACGAATGGGACTTCGTCGAAACGTTGCCAAGACACTTCCAATTTTACGCGGGAGAAAACCCGAATAACCATAAACAGAAGCTAATAACCAGCTCCCCTTCCTGGATGTCCTAGTCTACAAGAAATCCAATGGCTCCCTAGGACACACCATCTACCAGAAGAAAACACACACAAACCGCTATCTGCACGCACTCTCACACCATCACCCAGCACAGATCAACTCCGTAGCCAAGACACTCATCTCCAGAACAAAACGCTTAGCTGACGAACA